CGGGCCGCAGCCTCCGGTCGACCGACGCCTGCCTCCGTAGCTGACGGCTGAGGTGAGGTGCGTGGCCATCTTGCATTGTGCTGTAATGCACGGCAGGTGTTTGCTTCTTTGCCAAGCCCGGATCGGGTTCCTTGCGTGCTTCGGGTTCCATCTCCGCGTCTCTTGCATCAGTTTACTCGCAACCGTTCCAAGAATACAGGAAACCGTGCTCAGATCTATCAGAAAAGAAAGAAAGATCACAAGTCGCATCTTAGCCCAGATCGATGGCTATGTTCTGCTGTTGTCTAGTGCTAGTATTTTGTTCCACTCCCTCATTTGTAGATCAGTCCAAGATCTCAAAATTCGGCCTCTTCGTAAGATCCACCGATAGTATCCCCGTATGTCTGACCAAGTTTTAGCTGCTTCAGTATGCTTTAGTGATAATTGTTGGCACGTGGACTGCCAGATGTGGAAAAACGAAGAAGACAAATAACTAGTATGTACTTGCAAAGCAGGTTCAGATCTTGGTCTAAAAAAATCATTAGATATCTACTTATCTAGGATTTGGTGCACGTTCCTGTCTATTATCTACTGTTTTCCATGATGTGTCAGTGAAAATGTCTTTAGAGTGAGCATTTCTGCTATATTGTGGTTTGATAGGATAGCACAAATATCTAAGTTTACCTCGATGCATTACTCCCCTCTGTGGTTCGCTTGAAAACCCAAGAGTTTCATGTTGTGGCTCCACTCTAATGTTTTCTTGTTTCTAGATAGAGATGCACACTTTTGTTTTATCTGGATAGGAAATAACACTGGATACTCTGTCATGCACTAATAAATTCTACTTTCAGCTTCGATATTTGTACGAATGTGCGAACCAATTATTTTCCTGCCGCAAACAAAAAGGCGGAGTGTGCCTGTTTTGCATGACTGCATTTCTCCACATTTTTGTTAAAATTCCCAGTGTTTTAATTTGGAGCTTGGTAGTTGGATCATGCCCTCTGCTCTATGAGAAACAGATGCAGTTTCCCATTTATGTAGTGACCTTAGAGACTGAGACTGGCCTTCCTGGTCTGCCCGAATTCTTTCTACAGGGGAGCTTGGTTCAGTTTCTCATTGTACCATGTTCTGACAGCTCAAAAGATAATATATAGTAATATTCTAGTTATTACATATCAGTTGTTTCATTTTATATTGGCTGTATCATAAACTGTATCTTGTCTGATCCTTTTAAATACTCTACTTGTACAACAGGATTTCAGAAATTACAGTCCAATATGGCGACACCCTACACACCTAAGAGCATCCTCATTACAGGAGCTGCTGGTTTCATCGCTTCCCATGTCACAAACCGCATTGTACGGAACTACCCTGATTACAAGATTGTCGTCCTTGACAAGCTTGATTACTGCTCCAATCTGAAGAACCTTCTCCCTGCCAGCTCGTCACCAAACTTCAAGTTTGTCAAGGGCGATATTGCCAGTGCTGATCTTGTCAACTTCCTCCTGGTCACAGAGAACATTGATACAATAATGCACTTTGCAGCCCAGACACATGTTGACAATTCTTTTGGTAACTCCTTTGAATTCACCAAGAACAACATTTATGGTACTCATGTTCTTCTCGAAGCTTGCAAGGTCACTGGTCAGATCAGGAGGTTCATCCACGTTAGCACTGATGAGGTCTATGGTGAGACTGATGAGGATGCAGTGGTTGGTAACCATGAGGCCTCACAGCTGCTCCCAACAAATCCTTATTCAGCCACCAAAGCTGGAGCAGAGATGCTTGTCATGGCTTATGGGAGATCCTATGGTCTGCCGGTCATCACTACCCGGGGAAATAATGTGTATGGTCCTAACCAGTTTCCTGAAAAGCTTATTCCGAAGTTCATTCTTTTGGCTATGAGAGGAAAGCCCCTCCCAATTCATGGTGATGGATCCAATGTCCGAAGCTACCTCTACTGTGAGGACGTTGCTGAGGCTTTTGAAGTCATTCTTCATCGTGGAGAAGTTGGACATGTTTACAACATTGGAACAAAGAGAGAGAGGACAGTCACTGATGTGGCAAAGGATGTCTGCAGGCTTTTCAATCTTGAAGCTGATAAAGTAATCCAGTTGGTTGATAATAGACCTTTCAATGATCAGAGGTATTTCTTGGATGATGAGAAGCTCAAGAGTCTTGGGTGGTCTGAGCGCACTAGATGGGAGGAGGGCCTGAGGAAGACAATGGAATGGTATATAGCTAATTCTGACTATTGGGGTGACGTTTCTGGTGCACTGTTGCCTCATCCGAGGACACTGATGATGCCTGGGTATGAGGGCTCTGAGGAAATTAAAGGAATGCTAAATCTGTTTACTAACAATCAAACGAAGATGGTGGCTCCAACATCAGAAGGTTCTTCCCAAACTCGTTTGCTCAAGTTCTTGATATATGGCCGGACAGGATGGATTGGTGGACTTCTTGGCAAAATATGTGAGAAGCAAGGAATTCCATACGAGTACGGAAAAGGTCGCTTGGAAGAGCGCTTTTCCATTGTCCTTGATATCCAAACTGTTAAGCCAACACATGTCTTCAATGCTGCTGGTGTTACTGGCAGACCCAATGTTGATTGGTGTGAGTCTCACAAGCCAGACACCATACGTACAAATGTTGTGGGCACCTTGACTCTAGCTGATGTTTGTCGGGAGCATGGGTTATTGGTGATAAACTATGCCACTGGGTGCATATTTGAATATGATGCAAATCATCCTGAAGGGTCAGGCATCGGCTTCAAAGAAGAGGATAAACCAAACTTCACTGGTTCATTCTACTCAAAGACTAAGGCAATGGTAACTGCTTCTTCCCTTCTGTAACGACTACTTTGTTAGTATTTTATCTGTGTGGCGATATTATGTTTTTAAATTTATAAGATGCAAATCGTGGAAGAAACTTCTGATCATTTTTTCCCTGGACAATGTAGGTTGAGGAACTGTTGAACGAGTACGAGAATGTCTGCACTCTGCGAGTCCGGATGCCAATATCGTCTGACCTCAACAACCCCCGAAACTTCATCACAAAGATTAGCCGTTACGACAAGGTGGTAAACATCCCAAACAGCATGACTGTGTTGGATGAGCTTTTGCCGATTTCAGTTGAGATGGCAAAAAGGAACTTGCGGGGCATCTGGAACTTCACCAATCCTGGCGTGGTCAGCCACAATGAGATTCTGGAGATGTATAAGAAGTACATGGATCCCAGCTACAAGTGGACGAACTTCACGCTAGAAGAACAGGCTAAGGTCATAGTTGCACCTCGGAGCAACAACGAGATGGACGCGACAAAGCTGAAGAGAGAGTTCCCCGAGCTGCTATCGATCAAAGACTCATTGATCAAGTATGTCTTTGAACCCAACAGGAAGGTCCCAGCAACTTGAAGCCAGAACAGGTAATAATATAGGAAATATACACCAAGCACCGAAAGATTTTAGGAACCATTCGTCGCAGCTATTCATTAGAATGTTTTACGATACTTGCAGCATATCTCTGTTATAGATTCACAGCATCGTTTGAATTATACATTTGGCAGTCTGCTGGTGGCAGCCATATATATCTTGTACCATGATTGTTCTGTCAAGAAACGAACTAATATCGAGTATCTTGTATACCTTTTAATCTGCTTACCTTTTTTTGTGTGTGAATGATCGGGCGGCCTGTGCTCTGACAAAAGCATTTGGACAAGCATTTTAACTGTTTAAGCTTACATATTTTTTTCTCGCTTTGCTCACTGTGCTGTTTCTCTATGCTGTTGTGTTTGGTTTGGCCCAAGCTTGGAAAAGAACTTGCACTGGTTATCTGTTATGATCAAACGAGCGAGGGAGAGAGTTTGTGCTGCGTAAGACTGCAGCTTTTCTTCCTTGGCCTTCTGCCTTTTATTTCAGAACGAAAGCAAACGCAATACACGCGATCAACCCACGATCGATCCAGACGCGCCATCCCACGTCCACGATGCATGAGAGTCGGACGTGCTGCTCCTAGCTACTCGCCACGGTGCGCACTCATGGTGGCCCTGGCCTAATCTTTAGGGAAAAAGGAAACTGAATCCTAACCAACTAGCTAACTGAAGGGAGAGAAAAACAGCAGATAAACGGAGCGGCGCGAGACAGGTTCAACCCCAACAGTCTCCTCCTTGAACTTGTCATGCGCCCTTGGTGTCGAGGATGCCGATCCTTGCGCGCAGCTCCTGGAAACGCACACGCCCAAGCGATTTTGTAAGGATGTCAGCCAACTGCTCGCCGGTGTTGACATGATCAACCTTCACCTTCCCTGCTTCAACCTTGTCTCCGAGGAAATGGTATCTGATCTCTATGTGCTTGCTTCTGTCATGAAACACCGGGTTTTTGCTGAGCTGAATCGCAGACTTGTTGTCAATCAGAATTTCAGGTGGCTTGATCTCGGCGCCCGTAGCTTCTGCCAGCAGTCGAGAGAGCCAGATGCCCTGACAAGTGGTGGATGCGCCCGCAACGTACTCCGCCTCACATGATGACAGCGAGACCACCTTCTGCTTGGTGGACTGCCAGCTGATCGGGCTCTTGTCGAGGAAGAAGAGCGAGCCGGTGGTGCTCTTGCGGTCGTCGACGTCGCCGCCAAGATCGGAGTCGCTGTAGCCGATGAGCGAGGGATCTCCGCTCCCCCTAAGGTACACACACCCGAGCGTTAGAGTGCCCGCGATGTACCTCAGCAAATGCTTGGCCGCCGTCAGGTGCTCGACGGTGGGCTTCTCCATGAAACGGCTGAGGTAGGAGACTGAATATGTGATGTCGGGCCTGGTCTGTACCAGATACCGTAGGCTGCCCATCAGGCTGCGATAGTACGAGGCGTCGGTAGCCGGCGCCGTACTATCCTTGCTGAGCTTCAACTTTGCTTCCATGGGCACTGCACTCGGCTTGCACTCCGCCATGGACGCCTTTTCGAGCAGCTTCTGTGCATAGCCTGCCTGACAAAGAGTGATGCCGCGCCCAGTCTGACGTACCTCTATGCCAAGGTAGTAGGTGAGCCGCCCGAGGTCACTCATCTGAAAGAGCTTCTTCATCTCCTCCTTGAAGTTGCTCAGCTCCCGTGGTTGTGCACCGGCGATGATAAGATCATCCACGTACACGCCTACTGCCAAGAGCGTGTCGCCGGTGCCGCGCATGTAGACGCCGTGTTCAGAGTCACTCTGCTGGAAGCCGAGCGACAGCAGGCTGCTGTCCAGCTTAGCGTTCCAGGCGCGTGGCGCCTGGCGTAGACCGTACAACGCCTTGGAGAGCTTGAACACCTTGTGCTCCTGTCCGGCGAGCTCGAACCCTGGTGGCTGCGTGACGAAGACCTCCTCTGCCAGATCCCCGTTGAGGAAGGCCGATTTTACGTCCATATGATGGACTTCCCACCCATGGTGAGCGGCGAGCGCGGTTAGAAGCCGCACGGAGTCAAAACGGGCCACCGGCGCAAAAACTTCCTCAAAGTCGATGCCGGCGCGCTGTACGTACCCCTTGGCCACGAGACGTGCTTTGTGCTTGACGATGGCGCCGGATGGGTCCTTCTTCAGCTTGAAGACCCATTTGAGTCCAATCGGGCGTTGCCCCGACGGCGGCTCCACGAGCGCCCAGGTGTCGTTGGCGTCGATCGAGGCGAGCTCCTCCCGCATTGCCCGCAGCCAGCACTGCTGTGCCGCAGCTTCTGGGAACGACGCTGGTTCCTCTCCCACGACGAGGCAGACCGGGTCTGCGGCCTCATCGTCGTCCACGACGTCGACGAGGTGCACGTAGTCGTCGTCGTACTTGGTGTTGCGCTGATGGATGCCGTCCTTGCCCCGGGTGAGCATCGGGTGCCCACCCTGGTCACCGCCCCGGTCGCTTCCTTCTGCATCAGCGTCGGTGCGCGCCTCGCTCTGCGGCGCCGCGTCCTCCTCCGTGTCCTCACGCGCAGAGCCTGGCGTGACCGGCTCCCGCGCAGGTGAGCGAGCCGCAGGAGACGCCCCTGCTCCCCCGTCCTCTAGGCGCTACGGCCTCGACGACTCCGGTGGCTCAAGCTCCGGGACCCTCCTGATGACGGAGGCGGAGTGGGACGCACGCCGGAAGAACCGCGAGCGTGGCAACGGCAGCGGCGCCAGCGGCAACAGCAACAACGGCGGCAGCCACAGCGCCTCTGGGTCCAATCCCAGGGGGCGTGGTGGGCGAGGACGCGGCCGAGGCGGCGGTTCGCGCAATGGCCCTCGCCCCACGGATCAGTGCAGGTACTGCAAGAAGTTGGGCCATTGAGCCCGGGACTGCAACACCAGGAAGCTCGAGCAGGCGCACCTCGCGCAGGCTGCCGGCGACGACGACGCCGACCCGGCCCTCCTGCTGACCTCAGTGTGCGCCCTGACGGAGGCCACAGAGGAGCTGGCAGTTCCTGCACCTCCATCGGAGATCGTCATGCTCAACGAAGAACGCGCCGGCGTGCTGCCCGGGCGTGACGGTGAGCGCTACGACTCGGCCTGGTTCCTCGACACCGGTGCGAGCAACCACATGACCGGGGATCGGTCACTCTTCGCCGAGCTGGACACCGGCGTGGGCGGGAACGTGCGCTTTGGGGACGGGTCCGCGGTGGACATCTGCGGACGCGGCACGGTGTTGTTCACGTGCCAAGACGGGCGCCAGCGCGCGCTCACCAGGGTGTACTTCATACCCCGCCTGCGCTCCAACATAGTGAGCCTCGGGCAGCTGGACGAGGTCGGCTGCCGGGTCACGATCGAGCACGGGGAGTTGTGTGTGCTCGACACTCGACGCCAGCTCCTCGCCAAGGTGCAGCGCAACGGCAACCGCCTCTACATACTCCACGTCCAGCCAGCGCAGCCCCAGTGCATGGCGATGCGCTACGACGACGTGTCCTGGCGCTGGCACGCGCGCATGGGACACCTGAACTTCCAGGCGCTGCAGAAGCTGGCTCGAGAGGAGATGGTGTGGGGTCTCCCGCGGATCGACCATGTCGACGAACTCTGCGACGCATGCCTCGCCGGCAAGCAGCGGCGGGCACCGTTCCCGCAGCAGGCAAAGTGGCGAGCCGATAACCTGCTCGATCTCGTGCATGGTGATCTGTGCGGGGCGATCTCACCGCCGACGCCCGGTGGGAAGAGATAATTCCTGCTTCTCGTGGATGATCGAAGCCGGTACATGTGGCTGGTCCTCCTTGCTTCCAAGGACGAGGCTCAGGCTGCGATCAGGCGCTTCAAGGCCACCGTGGAGGTCGAGACGGGGCGGCTCCTGCGCGCTCTCCGGACGGACCGAGGTGGTGAGTTCACGTCAGCAGTGTTCATGGAGTACTGCGCTGAAGAAGGCGTCAAGCGGCAGCTCACGACGCCGTACACACCCCAGCAGAATGGGGTGGTGGAGAGATGGAACCAGACCGTGGTCGCCATGGCGAGGAGCATGCTCAAGGCGAAGGGCATGCCGGCTAAGTTCTGGGGGGAGGCGGTCACCACCGCTGTTTACCTCCTGAACCGATCTCCTACGCGCAGCGTCGAGGGACAAACTCCGTACGAGGTATGGCACGGCGAAAGGCCTAGTGTTCAGCATATTCGTGTGTTTGGATGCGTTGCGCATGTCAAGAACGCCAGGCCCATGCTCAAGAAACTAGATGACCGGAGCACGCCCATGGTCTTCATTGGCTATGAGGAAGGAACCAAGGGCTACCGTGTCTTCAACCCTGGGACTGGGCGCGTTCACGTGTCCCGCGATGTGGTCTTCGACGAAGGCGCGTGCTGGAAGTGGGACGACGCCACAGCTGCGCCAGAGCCGTTCACGGTGAGCTACACCGTCTCCGTCACTCGGCCAGAGCGCCTAGAGGACGTAGCGCTCCTCCACAGAGCGGAGCCGCCCCGTCAACTCCTCGATGGTGAGAGTGCTCACGTCGAGCAGCGTCTCGATGGCAATCGCCACCTGCGAATAGCGCCGTGGAACAACACGAAGGAGCTTGGTGACTACCTTTGCATCTTCAATGTTGTCTCCGACGGTGCGCATGTTGTTGACGAGGGACGTGATCCGCATCCCGAACGCGTCGACCGACTCCCCGTCCTTGAAGGAGATGGACTCGAACTCGCTGCGGAGGCGTTGCGCCGTCGCCTGGCGCGCCCGCTCGACGCCCATCCGCAGCACCTTCACCGCCTCCCACGCCTCCTTCGCGGACGGCTTGACAGCAAGGATGCCGTGCATGTCCGCGGGTACGGCGCGTAAGATCGCCGCCATGGCCGCACTGTCCTCGCGCTCGATGTCGCACCCCAGCTCGATTGCGTCCCAAAGGCCCTGGGCCTTCAGGTTGACCTTCATGACGAGTGCCCACTCGATGTAGTTGGTTGAGGTGAGCTCGGGGTAGACGAACGAGCCGCCGCCGTGCTCCCGCACGACGCGCTCCTGAACCA